GAAATTCTGAAGGTTTTATTTGATTCAACGAGAATTTGTTTTAAATACTGATCATGAAGCACTTCGTTTTCTGGGCTCTCAAAAAAAATTGAATAAGAGACATGCTAAGTGGGTTTCATTCTTGCAAGAGTATACTTTTCATATCAAACATAAAACTGGTGTTTTGAACAAGGTTGCTAATGCTTTAAGTCGGAGATCTCACTTGTTGGTAACTGCTTACCCGACTATTACTTCTTTTAATTTTTTAAAAGATACTTATGCAAATGATCTCGATTTCAAAAATATTTGGGATTCTTTTCTTGCTTCTGGAACTGATCTTTCTACTCAGTTTGTTATTCATCAAAGGGTTTTTGTTTAAGGGATCTAGACTTTGCATAACAAAAAATTCTTTAAGAGAACAACTTGTGCATGAACTTAATAGTGGGGGATTGAGTGGTCAATTTGGGCAGGGAAAAACTGTGGCTTTAGTGGAGGAAAAGTATTTCTGGCCTCTTATGAGAAAATAAATTACTAAGCTGGTGAAAGAATGCAAAATTTGTCAGACTTTTAAAGGAACTTCTTAAAATGCTAATTTATATACTTCCCTTTTAATTCCAAATAAACCTTGGGATGATATCTCTATGGATTTTGTTTTGGGATTGCCTGTTACTTTTAGAAAGTTTGATTCTATTTTTGTGGTGGTACATCGATTTAGCAAAATAGCACATTTTGTTCCTTGCAAGAAAACTTCTGATGCCTCATATATTGCTGATTTATTCTTTAAAGAAATTATTCGTCTTCATGGTGTTCCTCACACTTTAACTTTTGATAGAGATACTAAATTTTTGAGTCATTTTTGGAGAACACTTTGAGCAAAATTAGGAACTACTCTTCAATTTAGCAGAGCATATCCACAAATTGATGGGCAAACTGAAGTTGTAAATCGAAGTTTGGGAAACTTGTTGAGATGTTTGACAGGTGAGAAACCATCCCAATGGGATTTGATTTTGCCCCAATCTGAATTTGCTTACAATAATTTTGTCAATCGCCCTCTGGTAAAACTTCATTTGAAATCATTTATGACTAGCCTATACCTCACATTTTAGATAGAAACTGTTTACCTTTACCATATAAAATTAGTGCTGAAGCTTCTAAAACCTTTGACCATATTAAAACTGTCAAACAGCAAGTTCTTGAAAAACTCTGAATGGCTAATGTGAAGTACAAAACTGATGCTGACAAACATCATAGAGAGGTTTATTTCAAAGGAGACTTGGTTATGGCTTACTTTCATCGCCAACGATTTCCTGTTGGTACTTTTGGGAAATTAAGCAGGAAGAAATTTGGGTCATTTCTTGTTAAAAAAAAATTAGGCTAAAATGCTTATCTTTTGGATCTTCCTTCTACTGTTGGCACTTCTCCGGTTTTTAATGTTTCTAATCTTTCTTTATATGAAGGAGATACTGACGATCATGTGAAACTTGAAACTTTACCTCTCTCCACATCTGTTTTGAGTTATGATGAACAGCTTGAAGATATTATGGATGTCAAAATTACTAAAACTCGGCATGGTGAACATATGAAGTTCTTAGCAAACTGAAAAAATCTCCCTTTGACGGACTGTACTTGGATGGATGCAAAAGAACTTGAAAAGCATCATTCGGAGCTTTATAAAAGAGTGATAGAAGCTTTCTCATCAGAAGATGAGATTTTCCCACCAAGGGGGAATCGATGCATTCAATAATTTTGGTTTATTTATGTTTTATTGTATTTTGAACAATATTAGTTGTGTTTTATTTTTGTTTATGCTATCCTATGATGGTTGGGCTTCCAATGATCATGGTAGGAATGTGCGAGGCATGGCAAGCCTTGGATTTACTTGCTTTTGGGTCCACTTCGACCTTGGGCTGCTTGTTGATTTCAGTTTGGCGTGGTGGTTGCTCTCGGGTGGGCCTTGGTTGCTTGGTGTTGAGCTAAAAAAAAGCTAGATTCTACTTTGTGATAGCTCATAAATGTTTGAGCTGAAGTTTAGCTCAATGATTGGGGATTAAATGCACTTCCTAACTCATTAATTCAAAAATGTATGCTATTATTTCAAGGATTCATTATGGAGTGGACTTGTGCCTCTTCTCCTCCCTTTGTCTTCTCGGTTTCCCCTTGCTGATTGGTTTCCCGTGCCTTGCCCCTTTGTCTCCTGTGCTGGCTCTTCGGGTCCCTTGCTGGTTGGTTTCCCGTGCGCTGGTGTTTTGCCTCCTGTGCTGGCTTTTTGGGTCTCTTGCTGGTTGATTTCCTGTGGCTATTTGGGGGGATTTCGCTGGCTTCCTCTCTGTTTTCTGTGCAGAATTCCTGCTGCAGTTTGGTCTTCTATTTGGTGACTTTTGGCTTTTCAATTCTCCTAATTCTAATTGGATTTGGTTGGAGGTATTATGGCTATTTGTCTACTTTCTTTTGTCTATAAAAATAAGTTGTTTTGAGATGGAAAAGGTTCTTGAATATTGTGAGCAAAGTCTCTACAAAAACCTGAGGGTTTCTTCTCTTGGAAAAGCTTGAGAGCTTGTTCCATCCCCCTTCCTCCTCTCTATTTTGTCTTGGCTTCTAATCTCTTCTTCTCTACGCAAGTTCCACTCCACTTATATCCTTCTTCTTTAGCTTTGGAAGTGTATGTTGGTTGAAATTTGGAGACATTTGCCGGAGGAGTTTGGTAGGACGTTGGACTCTTTTACAGTGGTGGACCCTCGATTTGCAAGCCTAATTAAGCACAGTTTTATTATATATTCCTTCTCTCGTTGCATGTGAGGAGTCCGCTAGACGGTTTTACTGAGGATAGCATTTTATGTTTTTTTTTATTTTGTTCCGTTCGATTTGGCTTTTGTTTCTTCGAAGTTTATTTTGGATGTTTGCAAGCTACATTTGAATTGAGTTTGGTTTAAGTCTTGTCCTTGTGTTCTCCAAATTGTATCTTTACTCTAGTTTTGCACGCATCATTATGTCAGACTCTCACACATCTTGAACAGTTGCGTTTACATGAATTGCCTTCAAAGTGACTTAAGTGGTCAAGCTTGTTACATGTCATGAATGTATGAGTGTCTTAAATGATGCACACATTAATTCTAAAAATGGAGCTAATAATACACATCCCATGAGACAATAGTATGCTTTGTGAATAGTGCGTTCCTATGAATGAAATTTTTTTTCAAATGATAAAAAATGATGCACTATTGTGTATTAAGAGCTACACAACCATCTTAACAAAGTGTGCAAAACGCATCAAATCACCATAAACAATTTTATCTATGCATTTATTAAATAAACAATGCAAGCATACTTAAGAACGTGCAATATTTATATTTTCCTTTTAAAATTAGTTTATTACTTATTTGAATTTCTCATATATATTTAAATTATATCCTATCTTTCTCCCTCTAAATTTACTACTAAAATTCAATAACTTAATAAATGTAATTGATTTAACTTAAAATCTCTTTTATAAAGTTTGTTCTCTTATACGGTATAATTAACATTGCTAATTTAAAGTTTAAATCTACTGAAATAATAATAAAACTTTAAATATTTTAAATTTCAAACTTCTTTAATCTCAAAATAAATTATTATATCATAAAATTTCTAGTTTAATATCTAAATTATTTCTAAAATTATTTTATTACTCACAATGATCATAATTATAAATTACGAATTATGAAATGAGAATCTCTTACTATTATAAAATTTATTCTCTCTTTATATTTATATATGTACTTGATATATCCTCAAAAATTTATCTTGATCGAGCACGAATCTCGAGGCAAATTCGTATTGAAAACTTTCAAAATTAAATTCAGGGTCATCTGAGCTTTGATTTAAACAAACTTATAGTCGAACTGAACGTCTCGAAAACACTAACCTAACGACACCAAATTGGACCCAATCCGAGTTCGAATGGTCCAAATCAATGACCCAAAGCACATTTGGAATGTTCAATCCATAAATTGAGTGACCAAACGATTCCCAAATGTGAGTGGCACGACGAGAAGAATCCAACGAGCCTAAGATCGCAAAATTTTGACACTAAGACGTTCAAATACTCAATAAATAGTTCATGATCAGTGGATTCATTCAAATTGAGTCAGGACCCGTGGTTTTTCTCCTTTTCAGGATTTTCCACGTAAAAATCTTAGTGTCTCTTATTAACGCTATACCTCTACTCTTTTATATGTATGAAAGCTAGATCTTCATATAAAGCTAAGACGCTAAACTTTATATTTCTCTACCGCCACGAATATTCCAGGATACAACAATACTCATAGTCCCTTATTAGAATAAATAAATTTTTATTTTTAACTATATAACTTCATTCATACTTTATTTTTTAACTTAAAAATATTTAAATTTTAAATTGTATTAAAATCTCAAAATTAACATACCTTATGCAATCCTAATTTAAAGTTTTCTAAATAAATAACTTTCTTAAATAACTCACTCTCCCCGTATCCTTCAAATTAGTCAGTTAAGCCTAAGCTCGAGCCCTCTATTTTCTTTCCCTCACTCTCGTTCTCAATCTCTTGGCCTTTTCCTATCCTCCTTTCTCTCAAATTTTTAGGAATGAAAGCCTTCTTCGAGCGTCTCTTCATTTCATCTCCTTCACGTCTTCGAGCGACGGAGCCCCTTCAACTTCCTCGATACCATGTGACGGAAACAACGCAAATCAAGTGACGGAATGAACTTCTTTGCCCCTTTCATCTTCTTCATCTTCCTCTCTTCATCTTCTGCGACGAGAGCAACGTGGTTCCTTCATCTTCTCCAACCTTAAATGACATCACTTGCTTATTTGTTTTCCCTCGACACCCAGCATCATATCGACGAGCTCCTCCAACTCCTTTTATCTTCTTCGTCTTGTTCGTCTTATTGAGACTCCAAGTACATAACCGACCAACGTCGGTTCGGGATATTATATAGGTTGCATCAAAAACATACAATGAAAAGAAAAAAAAATCAGATACATTGTAAATAATGGTCATGCATACCCTTATGTTTCCATAGCAGTCATGCACAGGTTTGGAGAAATTGAAATCCATAATTGAGAACACATCACTGAGCTCCTGGACATGTACGGTCACAGTAAAATCAATGACAGTTTTGTACAATGATTATAAAAAAAACAAACCACCATCTTAAGTGTGCAAGTACACCTTGATTTCCCCACATTGCCATATGAAAAAAGGCAAGCAAGTGCCTTTTATAGAGGGTGGCCAGTTTCCATAAGCCCCCAAAGTCTCATTTGCAATTGAATGGTCAAAACCTTCAATTTCTTGAAGGCAACAGCGGCTTTTCCATAGATCCTGAGTATGGTATATGTTCATCATGAATATAAACTGATAAAAATCTTTACCTTCAAGACTGCTTACATATTGGTAAAGTAATATAATGGAATTTGGAGCTCATCAGATAAGCACGTACTGGAAGATACATTGCACAAACTTTTAAGATCCCTTTGCAAGGAAGCACAATTGCATCTTTGGACAAAATTGGGTCAAGCAAAGACCTATCCCTCCTGCATCCAATTTGAAAAACATATGTTATTAGGTAATATCAACCTAGCATACATATATGAAAACTTATGTTATAAGAGAATAAATAAGTATCCATTCACGATGAGAACAGATTTCTGGGTGAAATATTGCTTCAACCTATAGTTTGTGAGCACATAAAACAGCGCCAGCCGTGAAAATCTCCAAGTGCACAAATGAAACAAATGCCGTTAAGACTCCAAACTAAGAATTTTAAGCTTCTCAACAGAACAAATAAGAATGCTGAATTAGATACCTACCAGAATTTCAAGTTTTGCCATGGAAGCATTCCTTCATTTCCATGATAAAATGGCTCTGCCAGGAATAAATCAACCTGCAGAAAAAAATAACATACCATTTTCACTCTAAAGCTAATTGGTAATGTTGCTGAGATGTAAATGACAAAAAGGATCAAGTTTATCATATGAGAAATAAGATTACAATTTAATCTGCACACTTAAGATTACAAGTTAATAATATGTTGCCCCATCCGGCGGCCTAGAGGCATAGCCGACAGGGGCAACATGCGCAAGTAGAGGAAGACGAAGAGGAGAGGAGGGTTGGAGTGCATGTGGGAGAGAGCGAGAAGATATAGGGAAGGAGTGGGGATAGGAGCTTTAGATTAAGGATTTTTTTCATTTATTATTCTTTTTATTTGAGATTGGACCCAACTTGGTAGGAGGGCATGGGTATGAGAAAGTATGGGAATAAGAGGTTTTGACTTTTTTTATAATACTAATAAAAATAATATTATTAAATAAATAATATAAATATTACTTTATTTAAATTTTTTTGGCAAAATTCCATCATTTGTGTAAATTGACATCACATCATCATATTCCATGTGCGAAAAATCTTAATTTTTGCGTGCAAAGAACCCGAACATGTCAACACTATTCGTTTCATGAATGGATATCATTTGGGCAATTTTGACTTATGGTCAACACATTTCAAAGCAGCTTTGCAAGACATCGTTTCATTTGCTTACCACTTTCATCCTGTTTAATTGAGTCAATCTCGGAGTGGCTATTGAGCTCAACATGCACTTAATGATATGACAATGGAAAATAATATTAAATGGTTTGGTTGCATACATGAAAGACACAATGCACTCATAAGATGGATAGATAAATTAATGTCAAAAATTAGGAAGGAAAAATACTACGACCAATGGTAATATATGTAGAAGTTGCTCAAATGATTTACATATGATAGGTTTAACACGTCATATAGAATTCATAAAACTCACCCAAATAGTGTGATAAGATGAGTGATGATGATGATGGTTCGTTCCCTAAAAGATTTTGTTAAATTGTGTGATATTTTTGCTTTAATTGAATAAACCAACATGTCCTGATAATATATGATTAATTCCATACATATGAATGATGCACTTCATAGCACTCTGTAATGCATGAAAGATATTACTAGAATGTTTAACAACGCAATCCCCTACTGCACTTAAAGCATTCAAATCTACAACTTTATTTTTCACCGAGCAAGCTCGGCAGATGCCCATAATACCTACACTTGAAGAACTAACATCCGTAAAACTAAATATAAAGTAAATGTGGTCAATTTGACAATAAGTATTAGTGATTTATCAAGTAAACAATATAGTAAAAAAAATTATTTTGTTTCAATAACTTTGCTTCAAACCAAATAACAACAAATATAAACTCCACATGCAAATACTTAACATCAACTTTTCACTCAACCAACAGTCGCTAAGAAAATTACAAATGCCATGCCATACACCAATGCCTTCACCCTCCTACTAGTTTAATTACACTTTGGCTGTAGAAAATAAGAAAGAAAGTTTAATTGATAGCAAAATTCCAAGTTGCTCAAGAAAACTATTTTATAATATTATTCCTGGATAATTTATAAAAACATTTCAGTAAGCATCTCACAGCTTTGGCTTAAATAGAAATTATACAATGAGTGATGATTTTGAACTTCAGTATCGCCAAAACAAGAAGACAATCGAAAGTGAAGCTTAACAGTTTTATTGTCATAAGAACTACAATGTTAATTTATCAATAAGGCAAAGTGATCCATCTATACCAGGCTAACTACTAATCCAATGCAATAGAAACTATAACAATTTAACAAGTAGTTTATAATAAAAAGGTAAAATCCTTGTTCTAGTGTAAACACTGAGATCGCATATACAGTTAAGTTGAAAAATATGACATGATAAATTTAAGAATTACCTTCCATGGGGTACCATCTAATAGCAGGGACGCTATTCTTTTATTGAGAACTTGTACACGATCCATTGAGAAACCATTTGCTACAGATAAAGCTTGAATGTAAGCGCATCCTTTCCCTTGGAACCCATGAAAGCTTGAGATAATTTTTGAAGTATCAGAGAGAGATCCAGCTAGTATAGTTAATATTATGCTATCATCAGCAACAACACACAATGGAGGTACTCTTATGCGTTGTAACTGCATGGAAGTAGTTGTTGTTGATGAATGAGGAAGGCAACACAGAAGGAAAAAGAAATCCATACATAGCATATAAGAGAACGTAATTTAAAGAAAATCAAGTGATTGACAAATTTGAGAAGGATGCAAATGAATGAACGCCATAATTGGCAATTTTGAACAAGAATGAATACATGCACGCATCAATCCATCATAACCTTCTAGCTTTTGGTATTAAAGATCTTTATGCATAAAGGCCCATCATTAAGATAATCTATGTTGATACACCACTTCATCATCTCATCATTATCCTTATAGCAACAATTTGAAGTCAACTTTATAAATCATACTCTCTAATCATTTATTTAACGGTACAAACATGAGAAGTGAAACTCTTTTTTACCGGTCATTTAGCATTTCTACTCAACCTTTAGTCCAACCATTTTTTCCTTTATAATCCTTTCAACATTATTTTTACCAATTTGTTTGATTGATGCAACTTCCACCCTAATTTCTACATGTTCAAAACTCATAAATCTATTTTCATTCTTCTCGTCTTCAATAAATATTGTACTCACTATCTCTCCAAAATAATCATTTCACTATCCTTTTTTTTTTCCCATAACCATGTTGGTATTTTGTTTGGTTTAACGGTCATATGTATATCCACGTTTTATGAATATTATTACTATTCTCATGCGTGTTTAAGGCATATGGTTATAGACCATGTTCTATAAATAGGCTGCCTTAAATTTGTAGAGGATTATGGATGCTTGAACTTGATTGGATCTCCTTTCTCCCTAGTACATGTTCAATCTATCTTTCTATTCTCTATCCCCTTCATTTCTCGATCCTCCATTCTCTTCCTCAATGTCCTTGCTGTATTCTCCTCCAAAACCTCCACTTTCTCCTCCTCTACACTATAATACCCAAAATATTCAAGTAAAGGCAAATATGATTTTTCTTTAAATGTTAATTGAAGCATATGTTACTTATGAAGTCAATTGTATATGCATAACTAGTATAAGAAATAATTGTTACATATGTCAGTTTTTTTTTTTCACTAGAGCCTCTACATTCCACTAACTAAGTCATGCATTGGCTGGATTAGACCTACGACTGAGAATTTTTGGGAAGCCTGTAGTGGGAAAAGCATTAGAGATTATAATATAAAATAATATGAATAAAAGGCATTAATCCTATAGTGGGTAGGAATTTCTCTCAGTTATGCAGCATTAGTATTCTTCTCTCATTTTCCATCAGCTAACTTGGGGTGCAAAGGAGCTGCGGGCAGTGGAATGCTATAGGAAGAATTCTAGAAATATTTTTAAGCAAATTAAGGTAAGGTAAATTAGGAAAATGTTTTAGTTAGTGGTTGAAAACTTTATTTGGATGAAACCAAGTGCAGTTTGTTATTTATCTAAGTAAGGCTATTGCTATTAGTTTATGCAAATTCAAGAAACATTAGGGGAAGTACTATAGCTTGCAGATGGTAGTTAAAAAACAGGTTAAGGCTAAAGTGGTAGAAGAAAACATTAAAGAAGAGGACTTAGAAGGAAAGAAAATGATTTTATGGAATGAGAAAGAATTCAATTGAGATTGTATATAAGAGGAAAGGATGACAAAGTCTAAGAGAACAAATTCCTAGCGAGGTGAGATACACAAACAAGGTTATAAGAATTAATAAATGTTTTATTATGATCACATATATTTTAGTTATTTAGTAATCTTTATCAATATTAATGATTTCGTAAACATAAAAAGGATAAATATTAACTAATGAATGAGCAAAAAGGGCAACAAAAGCGCAACAACAAAAAGGGCAGCAAAAGAGCAGCTAAAGCGCAACTAAAGCGTAGCTAAAGGGTAGCTAAAGCGCAACTAAAGCGCAGCAAAAAGACAGCAAAAGGGCAGCTAGAGGGCAGTAAAAGGGCAGTAAAAGGACTGCAAAAGGGCAACTAAAGAGCAGCTATGTCATCAAAAGCCTATATCATTAGGGCTAAAAAATGACTATATGAAAAGTGAAATAAGTTATATATGGGAGATAGACCCGCACAAATAAAGGTGAATGACCCGGCGAGGTAAGCTTATACTCTTTATTCTACAACAATAACAACAACAACAACAACAAGCCTTTATCCCACTACGTGGGGTCGGCTACATGAATCTTTTTTCTACATTGTATCCTATTAAAGGTCAAATTCTAGTTTAAATCTAATAAAGAAATGTCATTCCTAATATTTTCTAATCAAGTCTTTTTAGGTCTGCCTCTACCTTTCTTAACATAAGTCAAATCTAATACCTCTACTCTCCTAACCGAATACACATTAACTTAATTCCTCTATAATTCACACAATCTTATGCATCACCTTTATTCTTAAAAATAGGAATTAACACACTCATTCTCCACTCATCTGACATCTTTTTAGTCTTCAAAATAGTATTAAAAAGTTTAGAAAACCAAGAAATTCTCCACACCTCTATTGGTATATCATCAGGTCCAACAGCTTTTCCACCCTTCATTTTCTTTAAAGCCTCTCTAACTTCGATTTTACTCTTAATTCTAGAAGTTGGGAAATTTGACTCAATCCTGAATGAGAGAATAACTTATATTCTAAAAGTTGGGAAGTTGAACCCAGCCTTGAATTGGAAAGCTGAAAAGGTGTAAAAGCTTATAACCATTATATGACTTATTTAAAAGTGTTGAACAGTTTTGGCAAGATGAATAATACTGCTAAGCACTTTTAGGCTCAATATGACATTTCAATATGTTTTAACTATGTTAGCATTGTTAAGCAGTTCTTAATTGTTTATTATTATTATTTTTTATATATATTGCTTGTGTATTTAATTGAGCCTATCTCATTAGCAGTGGTTGTACTGCATGTAAGGAAAAGGCGCCATTGGGATAATAAAAAGAGGTGACCGTTCTTTTGATGCAAAAACATTTTGGGTGTATAAAGAGATCTAAAATGAGATCTGAATGTTAAATGTACAGAATTTTGGGTATGTGAGTAAATTTTAAAAGTTTTAGTAAAGCTCTATATTTACTTCAACTATATTTAATGTTTATTAAGGAACATTATATGCTTCCCATTATTAATTATGGAATTTGATAAGTTGGCAAGTTAGGAGAGTCTAAATAGATTTACTTTACTCACTCTATTCTGAAAGTAGTGGCTCGGAATGGGTGTTAGTAAGAAGGAACCATTTTAGATTTTTCTTCTCCGTTATACTCTAGATTGACCGTTATGGGGTAGGACAAACTGGGGTGTGACTGAAATTGATATCAGAGCCAAATCAAAATAGAGTGGAAGCATAATTGGATTTATAAGAGGAAGTAGGATGAGATATAATGAATATGTTGTATATAGAGCTGTAGGTTGAATCAAGTTTTAATGGAATTGTGCATTTATTTTAGTACAATAGCATACTTGCTTATTTAATGCTTTGAATGATCGTGGTTATTATCATGAGTACATGTATTATATGAAGTATTTATATGCATACATATTATTATCTCTGAGGAGTTGCCAGAAAGAATGACTGGTCAGTCATCCAGGCCAAATATAAAAACAGAAATGAATCAAGGAAATAATCATAAAGAACTTCAAGATATTGTCCATTTGATATCACAAGTGGTAGATAAAATGGCATCTATGGAGAAATCTTCTACTAGCGGTGGATCTCGATCTGAAAGTGATAGTGAAGTGGATCGACATTTAAAATTATTTCAGACTTTTAAACCACAAACGTTTAAGAGTGCAAGTGATAAAGACTGGTTGTTAAAGATTGGAAAGATTTTAGATGGCATGATCTGTCCTGAAAATAGAAAAGTACCATTTGCTACATTCGTGTTAGAAGGAGAAGCAGAAAAATGATGGCAAGTACAGGAAAAAGAAAAATTTGGAAAGATGCCTATTACCAACATATAGTGGGATGATTTTGTGAAAGTCTTTAGAGATTGGTTTATTCCTCCTCTAGCCAAATTAGCTCTGCAAGATAAACTCTTCAATCTGACTAAGGTTCCAAAATAATTATGCAATACGAAGCTGAGTTCACTTCTTTGTCTCGCTACGCACCTCATTATGTCAGTGCTCAGGAGGAGAAGTGCCACAGATTTTTGAGAGGACTCAGAGATCAACTATGACTAGCATTGGTACCTTTTGATATCAGTAAATTTTTTATCTTAGTGGAGAGAGCCAGAAGGATTAAAAATGAACTGAATTTCTCTAAGTATAGTTGAGAACAACTATATCCAGGAAAAAGGAAGATGTTTGAAAAGGATGATCCATTCAGAAATAACAAGCTAAAGTTTAATGATAAATAGAAGCAAAGTCAGCTTAAGAAACCTTCTTGTGAATAATGTGGGAAGAGGCATTTTGGTCAGTGTTTGGTGGGATCTGGAAGATGTTTTAAATGTGGTGAGATGGTCATCGCAAGATGGATTTCCCTCAATAGAAAAGAATCAATATCAGGCCAAAAGGATATCAGGAACAGGTACCATATAAGAGATATCTGGAAGGAGGCAATCAAACATGAAAAACTCAGTTCCAAGGAAGGCCAGCAGTACAAGGAAAACAACCTATTCAGTTAAAAGGAGAAACATCAAATCTTAAAGGCAATCAACCTGTCAAAGCTAGAGTGTTTGCCATTACACCCAGGAGGCTAAGAATTCAGAGGAAATGGTTATAGGCATACTTTTGATTTCTAACAAGTTTGGCAAAATTATTTTTATTCTGGTACATCTCATTCATTTATTTCTGAAGAATTTTATTCTGATTTATCTGTTGAGATTGTATATTTTACACCTACCTTGTGTGTTATGATGCCAAAGGAGGATAGTTTACTGGCCAATAGGATGTCTTATAAATTTGAATATTCAGGGTCATTAATTTTTAACATAATTAATTATAGTGCCTATTAAAATGTTTGACATGCATCATCTTGGGGATAGATTGGTTAATTAAACATTTTGCTACAATTCAATACTGGAAGAAGAGAATAAAATTTAATTTACC